AAAGGGAACGCGCGCCGCCTCTCCTTGTTCGAAACGTGTCGCGAACACCCACTCGGCCGTAAATATACATCCAGTTTATCGCGGTTACGTTAAAATGCAACGCTCGCCACGAATCTCGTTCGTTATTCCTGGTGTGGACAGGCCCCTCGATAAGGGGAACAAGTGAGAAATTATAGTTGGACGAGTCACAGTAAATTTCCTAGTTTCGTTACTGATAGAATAATTTTTCTTTTCTTCGTTGTGGAAAAATTAGGATGAAAAATAAAATAAAATTACGTGAAACGATCTTGCATTATAAGCATTATTTTTCTATATGAATATCTTTAGAATCAGAGTTCAATTTCGTTGTTAATAAAATAATTTTTCTTTTCGTCTACTCGTCGAGAGAGTGGAAAAGTTATGTGATGGTTCGGGCTTTAAGTGGGGCCGCGAGATGAGCTCGTTAACCAGCCCGTAGCTTCGTTTAATTTAAGAGAACGAGACTGGGGGACGGAATATTTGGGATCTCGAAACTCTTTCAAACTTGAAAAGGTCAACTTGCCGTCCATCTTTGATTTCTGACTGACATCGAATCGTCATGTTTCGAGTAACAATTATTTGGAATAAAGGAGAGGTGAGAATAGTGGAGGGTGAAAGGAAAAATTAATATTTATGAAAGGAATGAAATAATTATATATAATTAATAATTATAATTATGGATCCATTTCTTACCTTGAACTTTTATTACTATGATTCTTAAACTTGTATGCAATAGTTTGGTTTTAATTTTCTTCAAATGCTGTGATATCTAATATTAAACAACGTATATTAAAAATTATATTAAAAATATTAAACAACGTAATATTAAAAATTGTATCTAAAATTGAATGAAAGTAAAATTGATTATTAAGTTGAAATTTAACGTAAAATGTCCGATAGAGGCGAAATATAAAAACAGAATGATTTGTGAGGATTAAAAATTTGGAAAATTTTTTTATCCTTGATAATTGTAAAATCCACAAGAGAATAATTTTGACGCTTGAATGATGGATATTTACTTCAATATGCAAATTTATTTTCATCGTAAAGCAGGCGTTAATGGCATCCAGTACTTAAAAATTTGTAATTTAAATAACGTCCACAACTTCTCAACTACAATTGATCGTATCGCGAAGCCCAGGAGAGGGAGAGTTCAGCTGTGCAACAGGCTGAAACGGTCGCGTAACTGTTTTCCCTTAAGAAACGTATGCAAAATTCAAGAAATTGCATAAAGTGCTCATCCACCTTCCTCTGCCCTCATTTACATCCTCAAATACACGGAGAAAATGCATTGGAAACAAGGATTTTTACGTGTTATATATTTATATTTGAAACGAGTGGGGAAAAGATTCGAAGCTTTGTAATTTTTCAATTTTTTCTTTTTTTTTTTTAAACCTCAATCTTTCGGTTTATTTAAATTTCAAAACTTTCGAAACGTACGAATCTGGAAATGTTTACACTCAAATTCAAATATTAATTCAATAAACAGAGAATTTTTTCGAAATTTACGAAGGATCGAAATATAAAGATATTAAGATTCATTTGTTTATTTATTTCTTTTTTTTTTTTTTCGTTTGTTCGTGATTTAAACTGATTTAACCCACTTTCGTATTTGCATGCAGGATGTCAGTTTCAGATGTTCGATGTACTTGCTGTGTTTCCAATAAGCCATTATCGAGAGCGAACCCGTCGATACATGATGTGAATTCTACAGACTAACTAGGGTGTAACTATCAGACTGCGATTTTAACATAAAATGCATGTATATTAATAAGAATCAAATACCGTGTATATTTATACGAAAAATTATATTTCGTGTTCGATCGAATTGAAAATTAATACGCGGAGAAATAGATTGTTTAATGGTTTTGATGTTTTAAATTTTCAAATTCTTTTTTTTTTTTTTTTTTTCTTATTTAATTACAATGCGTAGAAAAATCTGTAACAGGTTTTATAATATAACATGAAAAAATCGTTGGAATTTTTAAATGCGGTTATTGTTTGATTATCAAAAGCCACGAGCAGATTTCCCGGTGTTTGCACTGGAATTCAATTTTGATATTCAATTGACATATCATGTGCATATATTCCCACACGTGCATTACATCGAGTTAAGTAAATTTGACTCGTGGGCTTTCGTGGGTATTATTTTATCATTAATTTTCCATTCGATTATTCAATACATGGAAATTTAGCCTATCAATGTATATTTTATCATTTGTTTTCAAATGAAAACTTAGTAAAATAATTGGAGAATTTTTCATGAAAAAAATTTCAGTGAAAAAAAAAATATTTTTTTACAGTTATACAGAAATATAAATATAAACTTAATCCGTTTTCTTAACTATTTACAGATGAATCCATCCAATTCGTTAATAAATAAATAATTAATTTAAAAAAGAATTTTTTCAACGACGAGCGAATCGAGATTTCACGGAATATCGAAATATTTAATAACTTTTGTCGTCCTCGTCGTCGTTAATTTCCTTGCCAATCTCAGACGCCCGTGAAACGATTCGTCTCATTATTATTAGCGAATTGCGCGACCACGCATATCGATCGACCGTATCTGCCCTGAAATTCCGTAACTGCGCATTTCGCAGGACCACATGTGGATATCGACTTTTACTTCGTAACGTTTCTCCGCTAACGACAACGTTTATTCGATTATTAACCACCGATTCCTTCCATATTTTCATTTTTCGCACTCGAATTTTCCGGCCAACCAACTGACGAATTACGTAGTAGATTTCCTCTTTTTCTGATTCATCTATTTTCTAACATCGCATATTTTTAACCACCGCATCATTTTTTTTAATTTTGGACTAGAGATAAATATCGTTAAATAAAAATTGATGACAGTTGTCTCGTGTTTTCTGATTTTTTATTTAGTTATTTTGTATTTATGTATTATATGTTTTTTTTGTAATGTGAGGAAGTGTACGTGTTGAGAGATAAAAAAAAATTCAAATTTTAGTCTTTTTATATATATATATATTATTATTTAATAGAGAAGAAAAATCTATTATTTTTAGAGAGAGAGAGTTTTTCTTTTGAATCTAAAATATTTCTATTTTTCAAATTTTCAAATTCTTTTCCAGTTCCAGAGATGCAATAAACTTTTTTTTTCATTTCATTTCATTTCTTTGAACAAATTCACGAAACGCCCACGAGAAGGCGTTAGCACGAATCTTGCATTTCAAAGACACACGTGTAAATTGAATTTTACGTATCAGTCGCGAGTTCATCCTTTCGTAGACAATTTCGAATTTACCTCGCAATTAAGTCGACCTTACACCTTAATTCGACGAGTAGAGATTGCGGAGTTAGTGTTCCATTTAATTTCGGTACCACTATTCGTCATATAAGACTACAATTCAGTTTACGAACTACCGGATGGCTTGCATAACGGTTCCCATTTATTTAGAGCGTGTTTTTAGGTTAGGTTTGAAACGAGGCAGAAAGCGATATTGTCGAGTCTTCATATTTTTCCTTTGATAAGCATATCCTTTCTTGTGGGACCGTATTTCTATTCCATGTGTTATACTAATGTTTTCACAAAGATTTATTGAAAGTATAGTAACTTATATTTGAAATGACAAGTAAAGGTTTTTTGTTCGATCGATTTGTCGATGTAAATAACAATAGAAATTAAGCTTTCATTGTATATTTATTCCGAATCATCAAAATATTTGCATGAAAAGATTTCTATAAAAAAATAATTTTAATCTCGATACGTATTTTTATTTTCCATTTATATAAATAATTCTTAAATTCTTAAATTCTTAAAACCAAATGGAATATATTCAACGATAGAATAAATAAACAGTTATTATAATTTTGGGACGAGTAAAATCGAAATTCAGAACGATCTTTTCTCTTCTCAAAAGATTTATACTTATTTCCTTGAATTCTTTTCGCGGTATCGAATACGAGCACAGGTGGCCGTGACCCAATAATTCGTCTCGTTAATCATGTATTTTTATCATTTCATTTATTTACAAATAAACGGAAAAGAAAGAATTTCGTTTCGTTAGATAAACCAATAATTTCATGAATATTTAATGATATTTTAGCCTCGAAACGTAAACGAGAAGCCTCGTATTTATTTATTTGCACCGCTCTTCTCTCCCTCTTTACTTTTATTTTTCATTTTCAACTATAAAATAATATATATATATATATACAAACTCGAACGATTTCTACGAAATCGATATTTATATCCTATCGAATAATTTACCGCGCGATTCGACTTGTTCATGACATTCTTATGTTTAAATTATCGTTTCGATTTTGAATTTAAAATAAATTAATTTCAATTAAAAACTTCTTTTTAAATCGAATTGTTAACTTTTGAATAGAAAAATTATAATATACGACAACATAACGACAACATTGTACAAATTGATATTATTACAAGGAAATATTAGAAAGTATCTTCAAATGTAAAATTTAATAAATAATACGATAAGTAGTAATTATTTAATTTAAATGTTCGTTCGTATTATTTATTCGAGGTTATTCATTTATTTAATGAATACCTATTTCAAAAGACGAGAGTCCATTAATTCCCATTTTTCTTACCTTTATTTCGAAAATAAATGAAAAGGCAGTTGAATATCTGCAGATATTCTCGTCTCATTTCGAAAATATTAATTCCTCGAATTACTTTTCTCTCTTTCTCTCTCTCTTTCTCTCCCACGTAATTTAATCTTTGCTTTCCAAATCACGAAGGATATCGTTCAAGCGTTTATTCGCTTGGACGAGAAACGTGATAAAATTCGAATCTAAAACTTCTTACCTTCCTTACCTTTCCTCCAATAATTTAATTCCTCTCGAATCTCAAATCTCCCCATTTGTTTCATTTTCGTTGAAAAATAATTTTCAAAAATTATCAATTCTTTTTCTCAAATTCCCCAAATTCCGAAAACAATTGAAAGCAACAAAATAATTATAAATATATTTTCCCTTTCGTGTTACAGGTATCATCAACAGGGGCGATTCGTTCAGAAGAAGAAGATCACGATCGAACTCGCTCGCACCCACGGATCCTGAAGGCGAGGAAAAGAATTCGGTTCCTGCGAAAGAGATCACCTCGTACACGGTCGCTATACTCGGCGCTAGGGGTGTCGGAAAAACCGCCCTGATCAGCCAATTTATGACCAGCGAATGTATAAACGCGTACGATAGGCAAAGAGGTAAGTGACGCTAATCTCTCTCTCTCTCTCTCTCTCTCTCTCTCACGAAAATTCGTGATATTGTATACCAATAACAACTCGACGAAAGCGAAACGAATATATCGAGTAAATTTATATCGATGGAAATTTATAGCTTAACGTTATTATCGTATACAGCTTTATCTTCGGTTCTCGATCATCGAAAATATTGNTCTCTCTCTCTCTCTCTCTCTCTCTCTCGAAAATTCGTGATATTGTATACCAATAACAACTCGACGAAAGCGAAACGAATAGATCGAGTAAATTTATATCGATGGAAATTTATAGCTTAACGTTATTATCGTATACAGTTTTATCTTCGAATAAAATCATCATCGAAAATATTGGATAAGAACGAGAGATCGAGTTCGAAAATTAAATTCGTTCTCGCGATTCTTCAGGTGGAAGCGTCACGTAGGAACGAGCGTGTTTGATAGATAACAGAAAGAGTTACTTGTTATCACTCATTAACACAATTTTCGTGTCAACGATGATAATAGACGATGCGAGTATATTAGACAGGTGCTATTTGTCTTGGGTCAATTACACGGGGAATGGATTTGCGACTTTTTATCGCAGAATGTCAGATTCTGTGTTTTATGGATGATTAATCGCGTCATGTCGTGTCGTGTGTTTAAATTGACTCGATATTAAAGTGGTAATTATTTATCATAGATACAGATGTAGATATATTTTAAATAAAAAAGATACTGATGATTATTTTACGTAACGATCGCTTGCACGTAATATCACGAGCGTGAAAGATTAAAACAGCAAACTTTCTAATAGAAACGTTACATTTAATCTATTTATTTTCTAGAGAGAGAGAGAGAGAGAGAGAGAGAGAGAGAGAGAGAGAGAGAAAAAATAAATTCAGTTCTATTAGCTTTCCAATTTCAATGTCAAACATAAGCTAATGAATAATGAAAACGAAATCTTGACAAGACATTTATATTCGTCTCGTGTGGATTTCCTCGCTTGTTTTTCCAAAGCTCGTGTGTGGTCAGCCGAGGAACGAGCGCGAGACAAACGTGATTCATCGCGACTTTATTTCGCGCGAGAGAGTTTCTGAGCCGTGTCAATGGTCCAAAGTCGATGTACACACCGTCTTCCGTTCTGTTATTTCGTCGCGATGCGTCGAAATCTCGGAAATCGTATCCGGAAATATCCGCGTGTCGCAACCAAATTTCTCTGCATCAAGCCACGTCGAAAATAGAAATTACGAATTTGATGGACCCGATATACGTATGCGACTTTTGTGGCTAAACACGTGAAGCGACGAATTTGATATTTGCCTCGCAATAAAGATGTGATATGGAGAAGAGTAATGTTCGAAGGGAAGAGCGTGAAATTGAAATTCACGATATTCGTGACAAATATTGAAATATTCGAAATAGAAAATATACGAAAATAGTTTTGTTTTTTTTTTTTTAATTTTCGAAGCGTTGAAAGTCTGTACGAAGTTGTCAGGAAGATTCTTTTATGTCACGAGTTTTCTACAAAAATTTATAATTAAAAAAATAAATTTGGAAAATTTGGAAATTTTTAAATCTTCGCTAATTTTCTTTTTCTTTTTCTTTTAAAGTATATTTACAATTTTATTGTTCGAACATGTGTCTTTCAAAAGCCGTTTTCATTCTATCGTAATATGTAAATTTAAATTTAATGGGCTGTTACTAAATTTAGTAGAATTGAGGATTTTATATTCCTCTAGGGTTTTCCATACCCAATCCTGGCTTATTTCTACGTGGGTTTAAGCTTTTCAATTTGTAGGATTTTATACATATATTACATTTATATATACGATTCCCAATTGGCTCGAGCTTTCTCTCTTCTATATTTAAATAATAAAATATTTATAACGTTCGTTCAATTTATGAAGAATAATTTAAAATAAATGGTCGAAACGCACGTGAAGAGGGGGAGAAATTACTTTCGTTACTAGATAGAAACTTTCGTCAAATTAACTTTTCCTTCAATCTCGAGAATCTCTCCATACCTCATCTTTCCAATTCCTAACTAAACGCATTTCGTTATTCTTATTTATTTCATCCTCCTTAATAATTCCACTCCGCGAATTCCGTTCCAATAATTTCTTTATCTCGTCGGCTATAATACCAACAACAAATATCGCGATCTTCTCGAATCCACCCAAAAAGATCCGATACCAAAGATAAATAAACGATTAAATCAACGGATCACGTAAGACACCTACATAAGCCACGTGAAATTGTTAAAACTCCTACATACACACACACGTACACACGTATACGTTCCATATCTATACGCAATCTCCTCTTTCACTTCCTCTCCACGCCCACCAATCCCCCTCCATTCGTCCCCCTCTCCGTCCCACGAAGAGAACAATGTTTCCCTTCCCTTCCCTAATGAAAATCGTACACACGTACAATGGGACAAAAGCTGGGGGAAAATCTGGTGAAACTCGGTGAAACGGTAGCGATAATAGAGGCACAATGGGAAGTCGGTACGGGATCCGTTCCCGATTCGAGTCTCCCGGAATAACTCGGTTGACGAAAATAAACGAAATGGTTTACAGTTTCTCTCTCTCTCTCTTTCTCTTTCTCTTTCTCTCGACGCAACTCACTCTTCGTATCCGATTAACAGCCCTTGGCCAAGAAATACCCGAGGGGCCTGCTACGTGACTGGAAACGCGTACGCGTTTTCCATTCGTGCGAATCTAGGGAAATTTGTCGTTACGTTGCCGCGTGTGGTAACGTTCCATTCGCTCGGTTTCGAGCAACGCGTAAGGTAAACTTTCGATAATTTGTGTAACGTTCGACGAGAGTTCGTTGATGTGCGATTCATCTAAATTATTATTAACGTCGGTTTCGAATTTTGATCGAGGCAGAAATGCTGACTCGATCTTTCTCGAGGTGTAAAAGGATTGGAAATTTTTTTTTTTATTCGAGATAAAGATAAATTAAAGAAAGAAATTTTGAGGAAAATATAAAGGATTATATATAATATCAACAGATCGTATTTTTTTTTTTTTCGAAAAGTGCGAGTCATTCCTCTTGTAAAAGAGTTTGAAATTTTTTATTCGAGATAGAAATAAATCGGAAATGGAATATACGAAGAGTAAAGATGAATCTTCGTTCATAAAACGATAAATTTTCGAAAATGCACGAGGAAAAGAAAAATTAGGGATATTTGAAAAGAGTCACGCTGATAAATTTGTTTTATCGACATTTTCGCCAATTTATTACAACGATCGACCATCTATTTTTTTATTATTATATTTCCAGCAAAATACATTCTTATGGATGTTTAGATGGAAATATATTCTCTGGAAATTTGTTTTTCCAAAAATATGTCTATAATCAGATATTTTCAAACGTTTCATTATTCCAAATAATAAAGTTTAAAAATGGAAATTAAAATTATATCTGGGTGTTTGCGTTTAATTTATTATTATTGGTGAATAATAATAATATCAAGAAATTATATTGCACATTTTATACGTTGAATATAAATATATATTATATTACTGTAATAAATTTATCATCAAAACGTGTGAGAAAATATTTGACTTGCATAGATGATAATTATTCAAAACAAGAATTATGATTTTCAGAATAATGTTATTATTGGAACATTTTAAAGATAATGAACGATAATTATCATTTTCAAAGTCAATATAAGAGTTACAATTTTTTTTTTTAAATTGACATATGGAACAATTAGTATTCAATCGCGAATCATGATTTGTTTAAAAATTCCTTTCTAAATATTCTGTATCGTATCGTAGCAATAATAAAGGTACGAGTATTAGAGTTACATGAAATTTCAATAAGAAGATTAGATCGAAATTAATTTATCCAAGCTCGTAAAAGCATATGCTTGTATATATTTCGAAACGGTGTACATATTGAAGTATAGTTAGCAAAAACCTCGAGAGAATTAATCTCTGATCGAATGTTACCTCATCTACGTCTCTAACTACAAAAAAAAAAAGCTGGGAAATTTCAAAGCATAATCGAACAACTAAGCTATTTCTATATATATATATATATATTTTTATATAGCATATAATATTTTCAATATCAATTTATTCAAAATGAAGTCCTTTATAGAAATTTGTCACTTCAAATTTTCCATTTATTCTTTTCATATTTTTTTATATGGAATTTTGTATGGAAAATTTTCAGTTTTTATCACTCATTCGCGATTCTCCTTCGCTTTTCTATATTTATCTCTTATATTTTTCTATATTTATCTCTCGATCGACAGGTTCTTTTTTTTTTTTTTTTTTTTTTTTTTTTTTTTTTAACGAAATTTTTGATACTCGATGTAAAAAAGGATGAATTTCAACTGGCACGAATTTTTTTTCTTCTCTTTATTAATATTATCAACACGGATAACGCCTCGCCTATTATTAATTTTTCCCAATGCCACGCAAGTATAATAAATCTCTTAAGTCTCTCGAGCAGCGAGTGCATTTACGATCCGTCACAAATCGTAACAAGCAAACCATCTGTCATTCAAACGTTACGAATGACCCAATTAACAATATGCCCTGTCCTTGCTTTACTTGTTATCTTCTGCCTGTATTAATCTTCATCAATCTAACTTAATCATTTCGAATTCTCGAAACTCGAACGATTCTTTCTTCCGAAAGAAAAATTTCCTTCCAAATTATTTTTCCAAGTCGCGTTTCAATACTCCACTCTTTTTGGTAAATTTTTGAATTAAAAAAAAATTTAAATATTTATTTACAAGTAAAAACAATATAATATTAAAAATTTGAATATAAAAAAATTAATATTTTATTAATATTTTATTAGATAATTTAATTAATAACAACGTTGTAATAATTGATAATTTAATAAGTTTAAATTTTATTTTAATAAATAAATAAAGTAAGAAAACAGAATTAATATTCCTCTAATAAAAACAATTAATATTATAAAAATATATATATTGAATTTAGTAGGAGTTGCAATATAAATTGAACGAATAAT